TTTAAATCACAAAATAGTCTTTACATGTGTTGAACTTATGAATCACTAATTAGAATATGTAAAATTTTGAGTTCTTAATTTACTATTAACTTCATCTGGTGATTTTATTCATAATCTTAAGAGTTTTGCACTTGGCCAGAGATTAAATCTACTTGAATTTTATTTGTGTAGGCTCTTTTTTGGAAGGATAATCATTATTTACTCTTAAATTATGTTAAACTATAAACTTTAAATTCCTCTTACAAAAGAGTGATATTTTTATTCTATTTATCCTTCTAAGACTTGAACCATAGATTCATTAGATGAATGTTATGTTGTTGTTATTTTTTTTTTTTGCAGTCAGTGACAACAGTTACTTTCTAAAACAAAACATGCATTGCTTAGTGAAGAGGCAAAACATTATTCAGATTAAAAGTAATGTACTTTAATAATGATGATGTTACTGTAGAACGTATTGTGGCATGTGAGAGGGGGATGACGGTTGTAGATAATTTACTAGAAACAGTACATTATTCTTAGACTGGCCTCCAAGAAAGGTTGTAGCTTCTGCTTGTGAGTTTATGAAGAATCATTTTTACCTGGTTTGGGTGAGGGAATTGAAGTATAAATATGTCAGATTTGCCAACTCAAAGAATTTTGTACTTAATACAAAATATTTGATTTTGTAATTTGGGAAATTCCTATAATTAGAAAATTTTGATTGTAACTCAACCCAGAAAGTATGCGTCTTTGAGTCAAGCCCTTGCTCTTTTTTTAAAAAAAAAGATATTTTTACAACACCTTGCATATAGAGGCATACAATTTTAAGGTATCATCAGCTTTCTAACAGACCAATAGAACATTTCAGTTGTTAATGAGTAGTAAACTATAAGGCCTGTCTAAAGATCAATGAGCTAAGTGTCTTTTCCAAGACGTTACCTCCCTTGTTCTCAGAGTGGTACCTCTTCTAGGAATGTGCTAGATAAGATAAATGGCATATTATGAACATAGTTTAATTTTTGGATCCATGCTTAATATTTGGTGCTTAAAGTTACTCTTCATAATATATACATATAGCTCTGAATTTCTTTTAGATCATTGTAGATACTTGCTTTTTTCCTTTCCTAGTCTTATTATTAGGATACAAAAAGCATGTGTTTTGATTTTAATTAGATTTTGTTTTGATAGGTTTGAATCCTGTTCCTAGCGTTGTGTCTTGGAGCAAGTTACTTGACCTTAGTTTCATCAGTGTAAACAGAGTGTAGCTCTGGCTTGTTGTAAGGACTCTAAGGTGATGTGTCTGCCATACAGTGGGGCAGTGATTAGTGTTCTTTTTGTCTACTTTGTCACTGTTAATTAGCATTTGTATTGGAAGAACAGAAGATAGTCAAAATGTGACCACTTTAAAATAGAGAAGAAATTTGCATTATTTATGTTTTAAACAAGTAGCCATGATATTGCTGTCCACATTATTAATACAGATAAAGAAAAGTTTGTCTCAAAAGATTTTTTAATAACTGTGAAACCAAGTTAGCCTAACTTTCCTTTCACTGATTTGAATTTTTAGGGAGGAAAGATGGGATGATTTGGATGATTTGCAGAATCGCTGAGCTTTGATGCTTGGATGAAGCAGTTAGCCTATTAAGAAGGATGAAAATGTAGAAAACGTGTGAAGCCAGAGGTTTATCTGACCTCTTGTCTTCTCATTGAGGTTGCAAGTAATCTATTGTGGTAAGAGTAAGGAGGCCTGGGAAGAAAAGCTGTGGTGGTAGCCAGTCAGGATAAAATGAAATGAACAGTATGGAACATCAAGCAGTCTTACTTGTATTGGGTGGTTGGGAAAATCATGATGTATTTTTGCTTCAAAAACATAAAAGATACATCATGACTTTTCTGACAACCCTATCTAGCATTGATACTTTGAGTTTTACTTTTCCTGTGAATGTGATTGTAATTTACTTAAACACTAAATTCAAGCTCATTTAGCTCTTCTGAGCATTGCACTTACAAGTAAATAAAAATTTGTCATAAAAATTAATGTAGCCATTCTTCTTGCCTTTTCCCCCACAGAAAATATATATTCCTGTCCATTCTTTCCATAGCCATAGTTTTTATTCATCTGGTAAGGGTTGATAATGGTATGATTTGACTCTAAAAGAGTAGCCCATTGTAAACAGCTTTTTTTAAAAACTGTCCCTTGCCTTTAGAATATATTAGCACAGTATAGTTTAATAGTGACAAAGTCTTGGGAAGCCTTCCCTTAAAGTTTTTAAATTCAAAAAAACTGGATAAAACCATCAAGATAATATATGGTTAATACAATAATAAAAATGAAAATAATATGTAATACTATAACGTAAGGACAAAGGAGCAAACCTGAAGAAAACATTCATTCTGCCTCAGTTGATCTTTCCTACTTTACAAGAGTGTGAAACGCAAACCATCATGTTGATTTTGAACACAATAGAAAATGTGTTGCCCTCTTTGAAAGATACTCTTTAGCCATGTTTTGGGTCTTGAAATAGAATATACTCTCTTAGTTGTTTATTTAAGACTACCAAATTGATATCTTTCTTATAAATCAGGCTATTTAAACCAGCGGTTCTCAAATTTAGTTTTTATCAGAATCAGTTTGGGGGAGTTATTAAACTAGATTTCCTGGGCCACACCTCAGTACTATGTAATGTAGTAGGTCTGGGTAGAACCAAATATTTACATTTCTAACAAGTTCCCAGGTGATACTTGTGCTAGATCCTCACCTTGAGAATAACTGATACAGTCAAACACAAAAATTTCTGGTAACTTCCTAGTATGAGCTTCTAATTGTTTCAGATCTAATTATCATCATGTTGACTATGCAATTGAGCTCCTGTTTGTCAAGCACTATGTTTACTTCCTCACAAAGGTGAAGAAGATTAGGTATGTCCCTAATGGAGCTTGGTCTAGTAGAGTAAATAATGGCAGTATTATTTAAACTCAAATTTCACAGGTGTTTTATGAATTGAGGCATATAAACATTGTTTTAGATGGAAAAAACTGAGGTCTACAAAGGTTAAATAGTTTTCCAGAATTCACTCAGTAAGTATATAGGGGAACCATAATTTGCTGTTCTGCCCTCCTGGTCATGTGCACTTACAAAAATTTGTGAAGATTAGTGGATCATTGGAGGAATGGAGTAATCAGCTCTGCCTTAGGAAATCAGATGCTATCACAAAAGAGTTGGCCCTGGAACATCTTAAAGAATAAGTAAAAGATAGCCAGATGAATTGGAACTGTGACCATTTCCAGCTGAGGGAGCAGTTTCTGCATAGCCATGGAAACCTGAGAGAGCATATGTTCTGCAGACTGCAAATAGTTACATAGGACACTAACACAATAGACCAGATGGAGTATGAGAGGAGGGAAGACCATTGAAGGCAAGGGTCAAGGTCATGCATGAAGGGTTTTGTATACCAGACTTTTAAATAATTAGGCTATTTTTAATTCTTTGTCTTATGGTTCTCAAAGCATGGTCAGGTTGTGGAATCAGAACACCTGGAAACTTGTTAGAAATGCAGATTCCTGGGCCCCACCCTACACCTGCTAAATCAGAAACTGAAGTGGAGCCCAGCAATCTGTTTTTAACAAGACCTCCAGGTGACTTTGGTACATACTAAAGTTTGAGAACCACTACAGTAGGTTCTAGAATTCTTAAACACCTTCAAAATAGCCAAAGGTCACTATAGTAGCAGTAAATGTTTCTCCAGCTGATTTCATTTTGTTAAATTGCAATGCTTAACAAAATTAAAATAGTAGTGCTTTTTAAGGGACACATAATTTCAACATGATCCATTTATTCTTTGCACCAGTTCCTCTGTTGCTGTAAAAGAGGTCTGAGTCAGGATTAGAGTTTATTAGGTCAGCATGCAAAGAATAGCAGTGTAGTTATTTTATTGTTCCTTAGCTAAGGGAATGCTCTGGAAACTTGCTGACTGATTTTATTTTAATTACCCAAAAAAAAGCAATAAACCCTTTTTGTGAGGCTTTGGGGTTTTTACAATTGTCTTGCATTGGTTGCTTGTTAAAGTTTTCCACATTGATCAAAATTTCAAAGATTTAGAAGTTGAAAGTCCATTGATGCATTGATACCAGCCACTTCATTTTACAAATGAGGAAACTAAGGTCCAGAGAAATTAAATAGTTGATTTGCTGATGACTGTAGTAGTAGTAAAACCACGATTATAACCAGATTGCTGTGAATTACATATAGGGACCACTACATTAGACAGGATATTTCACACCATCAATCTGACATAACATTGAGGGGTCAACACCATCTAAAGTAAGAGCTTTCAGATACATTAACACCTAAATTATTTTAAGTGGGATATTCTTTATGAATAGTATTTAAAGTTTTGTATAAAAAGTGTTTAAAAACCTCTTATGTATTGATACCTAAAGTATCAGATTTGTCTTTACAAAGGGAAAAAACCTAGTAATTGTTCTTCAGAGTTTACCAAACACCAAGGGACGACTATAGATCCTTACTACTCCTAATATTTAATATATGAGAGGAGAAAATTATTCAACCTTCTGTGTCAAATCTGTAGAGAAAAAAAATATCATCCGAATTTTAATGCAGTACGTGATCACTGGGATTTCCACATTAAAGGCAATTAGGATATATAGTTGGTAAGTGAAGAATTTAAGAGTATGCTCATTCAAAACTTATCCTTTTAAATAAAGTTCACTGAATTGAGAATTACCAAATAGAATTGGGAATTACTTTTAAAATAACATATTTGTGTCATAGGCAAATTAAAAATGTTGAAACTACAAAGGATTTTTAAAAGTCATCTATTTACTGAGAACCTCGTTTTCAAAATGAGAACTCTGGGTACTGAAATTACAAGAATAGACTTTTACTACTATATTAAATTACTTTCTGGTTTTAAGTAAAACAAATGTTTTTAATTACTTTTAGCTGGAAGGGAAGTTACATTTTTTAGAATAATTTAATGAAATACTCTAATTTTTTCCAGTGCATCTGGGGGAGGTGGTGTAGCCATTGACAACAAAATAGAACAAGCAATGGTAAGTAAAAGCTTATAGTTCCCAAATATCGTTGGTTCTGTGAAGTGCTTGCTTTATCATTTCTAAGAAATAGCTAATGTTTATTTAGGTGACCAAATTATGTTTTTTTAATAATGATGTTTAGTTGAAGATGCTAGAATATTGAGAATTTTTAGTCTTGAAATACCAATGCAGTAAATATTTTCCTGTTTATGCATCTCACGTTTCATGTAGTACCATTGTTAGGGCCCGGGGCGGGGAGGGGGGGGCCATGTAATTAAAGTATATTATGTCCCCCCAAATACTTTAGCATTAGAGATAGAGACAAGAGTTTTAAAATGAAAGGTCTAATTGAAAATTATCCTTTTTTTGCATCATTTATAGGCACTATTACTCAGATTCAGTAAATGCACTTATTTCTGATGATTCTGGTTCTGATTTCTGGTGTCAGTTTTTTGGTTCCCTTAAAGATACTCTGTTCATACTGTATAAAATATTCAATTCGAGTTTTTATAAACAAGATAGGTTGTAATAAGAGCTGCTAGTCTTAAACTGTTAAAAAAAATCTTTAATGGCAGCTTTTATCTCTTAAAGCAGTACTCTAACTTGGGGTAATATCAGACAGTTTAATACCCTTGTTCTCTTTTTCTAACAGATAAGCATGTGATTTTAAACTTTATATTCCAAACTTGTGACAATTTAAGGAGCTACTTAAATTTTAGTGATTTTTGGAAATTGCTCAAAACCTTAAAGGAAAATGCAGGGCTTGCGGCCCTAGTCAGAAACTGGATTTATTCCATTTCATCTTCTTTAGAGGCAAGATGCAGTAGAGACATTGGGGGGGGGAGGGGGGAACAAAAGCAGGAAAACTAACATATAACCACTTCATGCTTATCTAAGTAGGCTACAACTGAAGAGCAATACCTTTCCCTTTCACTGATTTTGACATTCCTAATTTTGTTTTTCACAGGATCTGGTGAAAAGCCATTTGATGTATGCAGTAAGAGAAGAAGTGGAAGTTCTAAAGGAACAAATAAAAGAATTAGTTGAAAGAAACTCTTTACTTGAACGAGAAAATGCACTGTTAAAATCTCTTTCAAACAATGATCAATTATCCCAACTCCCAACCCAACAGGCCAATCCTGGTAGCACTTCTCAACAGCAAGCAGTGATAGCACAGCCTCCGCAGCCAACGCAACCTCCACAGCAGCCGAATGTCTCCTCAGCATAAAGCTTTCTTGCCTCGTTAAGAAAAAACTGAAAGCAATCTATCCCTGTGTGCCACTGGTGTTCTTTCCACTTTATACGAAAGCAAGTAGCCATGCTTCGGTTGTGTGTTTGGCCTTTTCAGTATTAGACAATCATTCTACAAGAGCTTTTCCTCTCTTTGAGATGTCATGCAGCACTGTTGATGTCCAGTTCTATGTCATCAGTACACAAGGAGACTAATAGATGGTGGTTATCAAAGCAAGCAACATCTGCATTCTACCTGGTGCGCATGAGTGGGGTCTTTTAAGAGCTTGGTGGCTCTCCGTGTTTCCTATTACCCGTGGATTTTCCCTGACTCTTCCTATCACATAAATAACAGTTCATCTAAAGAGCCACTTTCTTTCAATATCAGTAACATTTGCCTATATAAGTTTTCATTTATTTGTGTTTTATTTATTTACAGGGCTGCTATTTTCATAATGTACATGAACAATGTCACAGAACTTTTTTAATTTTTTTGAATAATTATAAGTATCAGTAAAGAAACTGAAAGACAGGATTGCATTTAATAGCTAAAACATTTAGGCAATAATTGAACAAAAGAATCCTGGCATATTTCTAACACTAATGGCAATTTACCTTTGGTATTTATTTTCAGTAGTAAAGACCCAGCTTGAATGTAAATTTTGTATAGTGTAAGTATGAAGAACATAGTGCAACTGTACAGGTAGTCACCAGTTATTGTGGTATAATAAATAATTGGGCTATTTTGATGAAGAAAACTGTTCATTTGTTTCTACTTTCTAATAGAGAAATTGCCACGATTCCTCTGCTTTTTGACATTTCGTATGACTTTTTTTTTTTTTTTTTTTTTTTTTTTTTTTTTTTCCGGGTGGGAATAAAAAGCTGTGAAATTGTTCAACCTACTTTGTAACCAAAGAAGCAAAGCTGTGTAATAGAGTTTGTTGTTTTTTTTTTTTATAATGCACATTCTTTATGTATTTTTATTTAGTGTTTTCTCGGTCACAATTTTCTTTGCTGTCTAGCATGATCTGCATGACCTATAATCTTTGAACCACTTTCGTACCTCATGTTTTTATCCAGCACTCTTATTGTAATATGTACTAGTCTGTGAACAATGTTAAATAAAAAAAGAACGAACAGGTAGTACGGTGGAGCTGACCTAGTGTACTCTACACTAGTTATTAAAAAAAATGAAGTGAGCCATCTTTTTGTTCATTTAAAATGGTGTTTTGAATTTCGTATGCAGAAAATGTTTTGTTACATTGCAGATTTTAATGTATTTAATAAATGCAACATGGCAGATTAAGTGCAGTGTATACTGAGTATTTAAATTAAAATGTACATTTCATAAATACAGTTTCAAAAGAAAGCATCATTTTGTGTATACTAACACATTAAGTGTATGTCAGAAATTGATGTATAAATATATATTTTAACACATTTTCTGAAATTAAACTGCAGTTTTGTTGAAATATTTGGCTCTATATGTGTTCAAAATTTAATTTGACTAGATTTGTATCTTCACAGTTCAATTCCTTAAATGAAAACCTGTTACTAGTGACTTCATGACAGTTCTTAGATTTTCATAGTAAAATAACTTAAAGAATGCAAGAATGGTGAGCAATATTTGTACTCAATACTCATCTTATGTCACTGACATTTAAAGAGGAATCCTTGTCTACCAAAACTTTTACTTGAATTCAGAAAGGTGCCTGTAGTAATTAACATGCTCTGAATCTATAACTAGCTAGTGAATGAGGAATTAATGAGAACCAACAACAGCTAGCTCTTTGTGCTAAGAGTATAAATAAGTGTTCTTTATTAAAATAAAAACTATCAGATTAACCACAAACTAAATGCATAAAATCAGGGTTGTTTATGTGGGATTACCAAATATTTTTATTCTGGTTGTACTGCAGAATATATTCTATATAAATAATTTTAATGTTAATGAGTACCATTAAAAATAAAAAGTTCAGTTCATAGGTTTAAAGAAGCAATCCTAATGATGTGGAATAAGATTTTTAAGTGGAGCACCACAGGTGAGAGAGAGAGTGAAGCTTCCATGTCGAAATACTAACCAAATGGCTCATTAGGTGTGCCCTTCAGGTTCTAACTAGTAATACAAGCAGAGAAAAACTAGTCTTAGAAAAAAATGAGGGTTTTTTGATGAAAATGCAGAAATTTTGTTCTGGGGATTGAAACTATCAACATAAAAGTAATCATCACAAAGGAAATGGTGTTATTTTAAGATAATTAAAAGCAATTATTACTATGTTTACATTTAAAAGAGCCACAATAGAAAAGAGAACATGGATAGTACACAGAAGAAATAAATGGCAGTTTCTAAAGTTTCAACCTCTAATAATCAAAGAAGTGTAAATTAACACTTTTAACTAATTGTTGCATCTTAAATAGCAGAAAGGCAATTTAATGTGGAAAATTAAAACACTCCTGTGTACATCTTGTGATTTGGCAATATATATCAAGGACCCTAAATGTTAATAAATTTTTCATTTTAATAAAATGAGAAGATACTCAACTTACGGTGCAGAGTTCAAAAAGTGCAACAGTGCCTGTCCTCTTCTCTCCCATTCCCACCCCTGTTTTCCTGGATCCCTGGAGATCCAACCTTCCCCCATACATAAACCCCAAATGTGAAAGGAAGCCTTTATATCCAAATGTACTCTCGTGAGGCTCATCCCCATTCCAAAGTCGAGAAGAAATTTAAAGTTGAGGAAGCTGTTGTGCTTTTTAGCATGTATATGTTGTATTTGGAAACCACATCAAGCATTCCCCTAATTCAATTGTGTAGGATCATAAATTTCAGTTTTACCTTGGTGAACTAGGGTCACCAGCTCCACATAACAGGAATATTAATTTGAAATGCCAAGTTGAGACACAGCCTTACAGAAATGCCACCTATAATTGTCTCAATGCCCACAGACCAGAATGCCACATAAATTTTGTGTCAGTTTATTTTAGCCAGACAGAAAATGGCAGAAAATTTTCTCACATGGCAATATGTCTGAAAACTAACTACCCCCCCCAAAAAAAATCATTTTAGATCATTGATAAAATTTACAGCTTGCTTACAAAAGAAAAAGGATGACAGGTATTAAGTATGCAGTTTACTTCCATAATCCTAATGTCTGAAATAGCTGGATATTTTCTTCTGAGCTAAGTAGAAATATTAAGGATGCTTTATCATTAAGCTCCCCTCTTCCCCCACAGTTACAGATTTTATTATTCACAGGTCCACAGATGTCAGGTCAGAGATAGTTATTTCACTAAATTCCAAAATAATCACCCCAGGGCCTTTAAAAAGGGGGTAGAGGAGTTCTTAAAATTACCAAAATATCCGTTCTCCATGGAAATGTATCTTTGTAGAACCAGAAATTGCTAGTTTTCTAAAACAGACTTTTAAGATGATCTGCAGTGACGTGTTTAGTTTTGTTTTTTTTTTTTTAAAGAAGCTTTATAACTCAGTGGTAGGCACTTTATGACATGACAGTTCTCTTCAATAATCCAGTTTACAGTTTGAGGAAATACAACATATACAATGCAATAATAAAGACAGTCATAGATGGCTTGACAAAAGTTTACACCTGAGTCTTAAGTGTACATAAGAAAACTACTCAAAGGCTTAAGGCGAGCATACACAAAGCTCTGAGTAGCCACAGAATTGTGTCACAGAAGGCAGATGGACAATGACTGCCACTCCCAGCTTAGTAGTTGGGCATCTCTTCAGAAAGCAAGAATGATTTATTGAATGATTTTAAGAAAGGGGATTGTGGTCAGACTTAGATTTTTTTAAAACTTCTAGTGGCAGGTGGGAGGAAAATTACAGGACTAAAACTGGAAGCTGAGGAATAATTTCTGGGGGAGAACAATTATCCAGAATAGAAGTGAATATGCAGTTATATTAGATAATCTGGTGACTTTCATGAAGTTTTTCAGGTTTTTCTGTACCATTTTTTTCCTCCACAATGAATATTCTATCCCCAACATCTTTCTTGCTCCAAATCTTTAATTTTCTTCTAACAGCTATATCTCTCTGAAATCAAAGTCTGTTTTCTACTAAAGGAATTTCAAGAATTAGCAAAAGGATGAGGGTAGGAGGAATAGAGGAACGTGACTGTCACTCCATGTCTCTGTGTAAATTCAGCTCTGAAAAACTAAAAGTCCTTATATGGTGAGTAGGACTAGCATGACCCAGGAGCTTGAATTCAATGCCTATCCCTTGTTTCTCAAAAAAGACAATATGGATTCTGTCCCTGTCACAGATACTGACAGCACAAGTCACAGTAGGTTTTGCTAGGCTTCTGCCTTTCATTCTTTGACACAGGTTGATTCAGAAGCTGTTTTCCATATAAATCTGTCTAAGCAAAACAGGACTTTTCACCCATCTCTCCCACCACAAGCCAAGTAATCTGTGTTTCCACCCCAGTCCATGATTCTACTTTGCTGGTAATCCATGTTTCTATTTTCTAGCAATACTAATAGTTTATTGTTTAGTAGTGTGTATTGGTGCCCTATTTTCTTCTTTTTTGGATGTTCCAAAGTGCATCCTTGTTTCATGTATTTCTATAATAGGTCTGTTCTATAGCAAGACCTGTCTTTGAATGCACATACTTCTTCTGTTAGTGGTACAATTGGTGTTCACTGTTAAAAAATGCTTAAGTGAGATGCTATACACAGCAAATTAAAGGTCATAGATAACCTCTTTATAATAGAAGTATCATGAATAAAGTAAAGACAGCAATGTTCAGGATTTGGCATGGGGAAGTATGAAGCTGGTATTTTGCACAATCCTCTTGATTGTAGAACTTAACATACCTAGATGATACAGCTTTATTTTTCCTTCTCATCAGAGAAAATGATGGATTAGGGAATTCGGTGTCTGCTCTCATAGGTTAGTATAAAGAGACCGTCTAAGTTTATGAACTAAGTAAGACATTGCCCAGAGAAGCCAAAGTTCCCTTTGAAAGAGGGTAGGAAAAAATATGCTAATGTAGGTCATAAAATAACCAATATTTTTTAAACGAGGTAAATGCCACAGTCCAATGCTTACATTTGAAAAATTGAGTGCAGCTTTTCACTTTGCTTGTTTGCATGCCTAATACACTACTCTACATAACAATTTTACAGCATCCTTGCCCACTGCAATCCGAAATGTTTTCCAAGTCACAGTTCTGCTGTCACTTCACAGGCAAGCAGTGTATCCTAAGATAGATCATTCCCAAGGAAGTCCATGGACAGGGAGGGAACATTTACCCCAGACTTGAACGTGAAATAACATCAGAGCATTGTCCAGTTCTAGTGTCGCTATGTATATATTTTAATCAGGTGACAGATGGATAAAAATAAAGTATGTAAAGCTTTGTAAAACCCCTAAAGCGAAGGTTTTATTTTGAGAAATTTTGGATTTTATTTTTTATTTTATGAAAATATTACAATTCAATTCTATTTCACTTTTGGTGCTGTACCCTGTACTAGATATTTGGGGATAGGAAAATGAATGGGACATGATTTTTATGCTCTAGGATCTTATAGTTCAGTGTAAAAATAAAGTCTTAAGTGCCATATTGTTTATTCAAAGTACATGTCATAGTTTGTGGACCTGATAACATTTGTTGAATAAAAAATTCATGTAAAACAACACTAATATTGCCATGCTATATGAAGTCCTTAGACATTTCCAGGAAACAACTTTAAATCGCCAACAAGCATTAACATCGTCAACTAATAGTTCTAGAAGGAGGGGAACTGATAAAAACCCTCCCTTCTCTACGTTGGAACTGTGAGATGTCCCCTAAAAAAGAGTTCATCTGAGAGAGATTTATGCATATCTTTACTGTTCTGTGTTTGTATATATAATGGAGTGGATTTAAAACAAGCTTAACTAGAATAGGATATGTGTGTCGTAAATTATATCATCTATTGTCTTATTAGCAATACGCTGATTATCTTGGCTGACAACATCAGCTACCATTAAGTGAACTAAGTTAAGAATAACTCAGGTGACTTATGCCAAAAATAAATCTGTGATAAAACTGAGAATCTAGAAACAAACACAAATACATATTGAGCAAATTATAAAAGTGGCATTTCAAATCAGTAAGGGAAGAATGGATTATTTGACAAATAGTATTTGGGACAGCATAACCACAAAGGGAAAAAAAAAATAATTTTGTTCTCTAACTCACAAAAAAATTAATTCTGGCTAGACTAGAACTGAATGTTATACTTTTGAGTCATATATTCCTTTTAGAAATTGAGAAATTTTCCACCCTCTCCTGTGAAAATGTTCATAAGCAAAATGTTTCACAAAGAGATTATGGAGAGATATTCAACCTCAGCACAATGAGGGAAATGTGCATTAAAATGTAAGAAATCTCAGATTCAATTGGCAAATGTTTAAAATATATATAAACCAAGAGCTGGTAAGGAAATCCCATGTTGCTGGTGAGTGTATAAACTGGCCATTTTAAGACTTAAAATTCTCATGTCCTGTGACCTAACAATTTCAACTTTTAATGAAATACACTCTACATACTTGTGTTCACCAGGCAGCTTGTACAATGATGTCAATTGTACCTTTGTAAGAGTATAAAATTGGAAAAACAAAACCACCAAGAAGATGGAGCATGGTACATATTACGAAGTGCCTGGCATCACTAAAAAAGAATGAGAATCCTACATATACTGACATGAAAAGATATTTAAAATCTTAAGTTTTTTAAAAGTTTGGGAAAAAGTTGAATGACAATACATGTAATGCATATGCCACTGATGTTAAAAGACGTATCACACACATTCACACACAAACACTATATAGTACACTTTTTAAGTACCTGTTGGTGTATAATAAAAATGTAGAGGGAGGGTCTGGAAGGATACTAACCAAACTGTAAACTGTAGCTTGAAAGAGTGCATTAGCTTTAACTGTAATGTTTGATGTTTCTGAGTATGCATTCATGTATTGTTTATGTAATGACAAATTAATAAATAGAAATAAAATAAAATAGGTGTCTGTCTGCTAATGTTTCTTCTGGTGCTCTGGATCTCATGGTCTTCTGCTTTCTCCCCTCCCCTGCTTGTTTTTCTCTTTCTCCCCTATCTCTTCTACTTTGCGCTCTCCTCTGGCATCATCACTTCACTATTTGTATAGACTCAATCAATAAATGATCAATAAATAAGAAAGAATCCTGTTAGATCAGTTTAGCAAGAATCTCTCTACCCTTGGTATCTCCCCTTAATAATTTTCCATCCACCAATCCTTCCCTCAACTTGCTCCTTGACTACAAATTCCCACTTTTCCTTCCTGTATTTATAATAGAGCCAGTTCTTTGCTGAAGTCTATTTTGCCCTATTGCTAGTGTGCCTGAATAAAATTGACTTTTACCATTTTAAAAAGTAAGTAAATAAGTAATCCTCTTTTAGCTGGCAATGTGCCTCCTCCATTTGCTTTTTCTGCTACTTCTTTTCATTTCCAGTTACTACTTGTCACACCCAGTGTGACTGGGGTTCTAGCACTCCCCAAACTATTCTCATCAGTCACCAGTGATCACTTTGTTGTTAATCCTATCTGTTTCAGCTCTTAGGTTATTTAATGGTTTTACCTAATTTCTGTTTACTACCATTTGTTCAGTCTAGTAGATATTTTTGTATCTATCTTTCTGCTTTTTTTAATTTAAGGAATTTCTATTGTAAAAAAAAGTCATAATTTTTATTAAAAATTCAAATTGGATTGAAAAATCTTTTAGTAAATTAATCTGTACTGACTTGTTATTATTACTGTCATATAGATGCATTTCTACCATATTATTTTGTGTTTTCTCCTTAAAGTATTTTCTGGATTCTTCCCTTTTTCTGGCTTTTATTAAATTGATCATTTTCTCATTTGTTTTTATCCCTTTAATGGGTAGGAAGTTGTATATTCCATGTCCATTCTTTCAGTGGTTTATCTCACCAATTTTTTCAATTATCCCATTGTGGCAATTTTCAATCATGTACAAAAGTAAACAGTATAACGAATTCCTATGTAACTATTATCCCATGCAAACAAATACCTACTCATGACCGTTGTATTATTTACACTTGTACCCACTTTCTCCATGATCCTCTGGATTATTTTGAAAGAAATGCAAGATATAATATCATCCACCATTTACATATATTATATTTCAGTATGCCTGTGTAACAATTTTTTTCAATAATCATTACACCATTACTTTGAATTCAGGTCAAGATAAGGTCAATTACAATTATAATTACAATTTTTGTACAATATTTTATCCATATTCATGTACAGTAGTATATTCTTCCATCACATAATGTCTGGTTGTGTCTAATTTGTGATGTTAGCAGAATTGATAATCATTGCCTAGACCCATTAGCCTATTAATTCTATCATTTCTTCTCACTCATTAGTAAAGCATTTCTCAACAGAGAAACTTGTCCTGATCAACTGTTCAGTTACTTTGAGCTATAATTCATATAAAAAAGCAGGGGTTTAATTCTTTCATTTCTTGGTTGTCAAAATACTGAGTCAAATACCTAGAATGGAATAAAAATAAGTAGTGATTGAGGAAGACTTACTCTAATAGTTTGCTCTGAGAAGAAGGAAGAGAGAACTAAGTGAGTTGATTTACGATGCAATGTTTCAGGTATTGGTAGAAACCAGGAAATAATAGCCTCAAAAAGTATGAGGCCTGGACATTTCCTGGAGACCTGGCTGAGTTTGGAGTTACTTCTGAATCAAGAATAACTTGAGGGAATGCAGGTCAGAAGTCCATATATGGGTAGAGTGGGGGCTGGTTCAGAAGCAGCATCAGCAGCAAGAAAAAGAAGGTCAAAGTACCCTGAGGATGAAAAGTGTGAGAGTTCACAAATGAGCAGTGGACTTCTATGTGTTTACCTTCCGCCAGATGGAGACTGGACCCATTCTCTTTACAAGAGCAAGTCAGGATGTTTCCTAAGTAGTTCAGCCTGGCATCAGTAACATATAGCTTATGCAGCATGACTTCTAAGGTCAACCGTGAAGATCAGCAGCATAGTACCCATGTGTTCTATTGTCTTTGCCAACCTTGTGTTGACTCTCCATGAAAATCAATTTCTTGGGCCTCCCCGGTGGCACAGTGGGTTGTGCGCAGCGCTGTGAAGCTATCTGCAGACTCTGCAGTGCGGTTTCTATCCCTGATGGCTGGGTAGATACCCACATGGCGCAGCAGACCTCTCCTGCATCACCCGCTGCTCCCCTCATCAGTGTTTTCGGTCGTCTGCCTGTTCTGTTCTCTGCCTTGTCTCTGGTGAATTCTCTCACCCTCCCATGCCTCTGGCCTGTACCCCAGTTCTTGTATAAATAAATAAATCTAAAAAAAGAAAAAGAAAAAGAAAAAATTGCTTAAAAAAAAAAATCAGTTTCTTTACATTCCCATGATTCTTGCCCTGAACACAAGAGGCTTTCATGTTATGACATCAGCTTAAGAATTGAGATGGTTGGCACAAGAACCTACTGCTGTCAACCCTCCCAGTAGCCATTGGCTCACCCACTTTCCTCTAGCCAGCACTCTTTCCCTTTCTTCTCCCTTGTCCCATTCCATGATGTCCCTCCTTGACTGTCCTTGTTTAGTACTCATTGAGAAGAATTGAAAGGAACCCCTTCCCAGGAATATCAATTTCTTTTTAAATGGGACTCCTGAAGGCTGCCCTGTCCTTGTTCTCTGGAGAGAATGAACAAGTGATGACTTGGTATTAACTGCAGAAACAGAGCCAGCCCCTTTCTTCCAGCAACTTTCAGTTCCAAACCTGTAAGTCTTGGAGTTTTCACTGACTTCACCTCCTGAGCCCATCCCATTCAGCATTAAGTAATGGCTGTGCTGACAGCTGACTCCTCCAGGAATGCAACTTTCCTGGAGGTTTTCTCTGCTCAGATAATCATACCTTGGGAGGAAACACTGGTTGATACAAGCCTCTACCCCTGGATATTCAGGAATGTCAGCATGGGAGGTAGGGAGTCTCTCGTGGGCAGGAGGGGAAAGGGCGGTAGGTTTCTGGGAACTACAGGCAAGACTTAAAGTGAATAGGAAATAGGGGGCGGGAGGCAGGCTGAAAGCCAGAAGCTGCGTGGAGTGGTGTACACCTGGATGGGCCCCTGGTGCCCTTGATATCTGGGAAACTTCAAACCAGGTCACCCTCGAAGATAAATTCTGAGAGACAGGGACTAACATTTGCATTTCTGGCACCTAGTCATCTGTGAAGGAAGGAAGGAAGTCGAGTTCACATTTATATTCACATGCTTTATTCTTGAGTTTTCTGATGTGTAAATGTAATCTGAGAAAACTAAACCCTAGACTGCTTGTGAGGATTAAACAAATGAAATATGTCCTTGCCCATAGAAAGCTTGCTTAGACATCTGGCTGAGGCCATGCTCTATTTCCTCCTCACATTTTGACCAAAAGTTCTGGGAAATGATTAGACACATTTTATTCTTTTTTTATTTTTGTTTTTTGGTTTTTTTTAAGAGTTCAAATTTTTATTGAACGTGTTACAAAAGACCTTTAGTCAAAAAGACCAAAGCCCATGTCATCATCAGACTCCTCACATTCTTTCTTTGCCTCTACTTTTTTCTCCTCAGCTGGAACAGCAGCAGTGGAAGGAGCAGGACCACCTGCAGGGGCAGCCCCTGCAGCTGGGGCAGGCCCACCAGCCCCTACATTGCAGATGAGACTTCCAATGTTGACATTGGCCAGGGCCTTTGCAAACAAGCCAGGCCAGAAAGGTTCAACACTTGCACCCTCTGCTTTAATGAGCGCATTGATCTTACCCTCCGTGACTGTCACCTCGTTGACGTGCAAGATGAGAGCCGAGTAGATGCAGGCGAGCTCCGAGACCGAAGCCATGGTGCGGGCGAGGGCTGGACAGACGCTGCCGGGCGCGGTGCTAGTCGCCGGATGAAGTGAGGGGCTCACCCCAACGCGGCCTTAGCTTCCTCGGAAGGACCGAGCACCTTAGCGACAGCCGAGGAAAGCTGATTAGATACATTTTAGACCTTGGGATATGATAGTATCTATGATAATCCAGCTCATGTAATTTAAAACACCTTATCAAAATCTTTTTAGTATATTTTAATTGCATTTCCATTATTTTGCATCCTTGTTAGTATTTTGACAGTACAGGATTTCCCCCTCAAGTGTAGTCACTATAGCACTCTCTCCACCAAATCCCCGGTGAGTCCTCCACCACAGTCCATATTGCTCCCCATCTCTCTCTTCCCTCTCCTCCTCTGGAGGCCACAGATATGACCAGCTTTCAAGGGTTGGTTTTAATATTTGTTTTTATCTGAGCCTTTGTGTGATTTCTCTATATTCCACCTGTAAGAAACACCAACTGCTATTTATATTTCTATTTTTTCACTTCACCGGTTTTATTTTTTATTTATTTTATATATTTTTACATCATTTTTCATTTTTGCACAATGTATGCATTTTCATCTTTGTTATAGTCCCTGTAAAATTCCCACCACCCTTGTTTTGATCCTACTCCTTTCTCCCCATTCCCGCCTTCATAGTGTGTCTCTGGTTTATAGTTACCAGTTGATTTTTATCATAATTAGTCATTTTCCTGATTCCTTATTTGGGTCTTCTAAATTCCTGCTATGAGTGAGATCATCCGGTATTTTTCTTTTTCTTTCTGGTTCATTTCACAGAGCATGAGCCCTTTCAGCAATATCCATGTTGCTGCAAATGGCATGAGTTTATCTTTTTTGATTCCACAAAATCCCTTGAAATTCATGTAAATGAAATCATGCAGAATTAATGTTTTCAGCCTGGCATATTTTGATCAAAGCAATGTTTCTGAAGATTCATACATGTAGAACATCAGTAATTAATCGCATTGTATTGCTGAGTGGTATTTGGTTTTTTGTTGTTTTTTTATTTAAGATTTATCTATGCATACAAGACTTGGGGTGTAAGCCAGAGGAACGGAGGGTGAGAGGATTCACTAGAGACAGAGTAGGGATGAGAGCAGGCAGCTCTACTAAAATACACTGTTGCGGGGAGCAGCAGGTGAGACAGGAGAGGTCCGCTGCGCTATGTGGGTTAGCTCCTGGCAGGGGATTGAACTTGTGCGGCAGTGGCTGGCCGTAGCTTCATAGTGCTGAGACTTTAACCTCTGTGCCACCAGGGAGGCCATGCTGAGTGATATTTCATTGTAGAGATGTGCCACAGATTATCCATTCTTGTTGAAGTATATCTGGGCTGCTTTCTAGTGGGAATTATTACACACACGCACACGCACAAGCACAAGCACGATAAGCCTGCATGACATTTGTGGACATGTTGTTTTCATTTCTCTTGGATAAGTTACTAGTAA